GATGATTGAATAGTCTTCAGTGGACAAATTATTAGAAACTTCCATCAAAGTGCAGCATTAACAGTTTGCTGTGGAGGAAAGAGGCTGTGATGAGCTATCTTTCCTTGAATTCTTAATTCCTGACCTTCATTGCTCCTGCAGTGCATTCATGGAACACACTCGTGTCCTTTATATATGTTTCAGGATTAAAAAAACAGAATAATGCCAGCATTTAGTGGAGGCCTGTGTGCCAACAACAATATATAAGTAATAATAATACATCAGAGATAAAGTGCATATACAAGGGAGTTATAGCGGCCATCATTCATGCAGACTGCATCTTTTAGTTGTCTGAAGATGTTTAAAGTTACTCACAGGACTCAATCAGTCATTCTTATGTTAACGTGTTAGGGTGCTAAATCACATTGATACACAGTTCATGCAAACCTCTAACATGTCAAAATTTTCATCACTTCTGTGGTTTGTGTCATCATCAAAATCACAGAATAAATGCCTTAAAAATGCCATTTCTTAAAGATGTCTGAGATTAGACTTCAGGCTTTCTGTTGGAAGTTTTACAGAAATGTGACAGACTCTGACCCTATTCCCGCATTTATGTCCATTGATATCAGCATTGCTGATATCAGTGCTTCTATTTTTATGCTGTTGGTGTGTAAATAAATATATCTGAAATAATTCATCGGGCTTTTTTGACCAGCATCTCTCAGTAACTTTAATGAGGAAGATTTGGGAGGCATTATTTTGCTTAGCTTGGAGGATTTCTCGACTAGATCAGTGTGATGATTGATTTTAACTCTCGACTGCCAGTCTGAGGTCTTTGTGGGTCCAGTCTGTTTGTAGCAAATGTTCATTCAGTGTGTTTGGCTCAAATTATTCATGAGCTTGTTGTCCACCATGCTGATGCTCCCTCTGAGACTTCTTTCTTGCCTTGAATATTATTTTATGCGTGGCTCGTTTGGCTGTACAACAGCAAAAAAAGCTTAATCTCCCCTAAAAACTCATAAGTCTTGGAAATCAGTAATTCTGTGTTTTGAACACCAACAGTCTGCAGTGGAGGCCCGCTGCCTCTCAGGGTTAAGAGTAGACTGAAAATAGGGCAGCAGGAGAAACAAACGGGACGGAGGTCCAAGATGGCGGCAGGTGTTGTGGCAGAGGCTGATGTGGATGTTGGTTGGTCTTTAGATTCCTCCCCTCTGATCTGCTCCACTTTCTCATGGTGCGACCTGCTGAAACGGCATTTCTATTTCCGGCAAACAAACAAGCACACAAGCGAAAAAACAAAAAGGACAAAAAAAGGGAACAAAGCGAGTGTGCTGGAGGTGACGGGCAGAAAGGGATCTGATCCACTTCATTTCTCCTCTGTTTACACGTAGATGTGATTCACACAGCAAACAGACGAAAACAGTTCTAATAAAACGCCCGACTTTGTTCTGCAGCTTTTTCAGACATGCCCGTTTGACGCCGCAGGGTCTCAGGTAGGAGCTGAGACAGGGAAGAAAATGACTGAAGACCACTTATGAAATAAAAATTAAATTCTATCATAGATAGAATAAAGTTCTATCAGCCTGACAGATCGCGTATTCTTTATATCAGAGTCCACAAAAACATTTTCCAAAACTGTGATGTCTCTCCAACACTTCAGGCAGCAAGTCCCAGGATGTAACAGGTGTTTTTCACAAAACTCATTTCCATGTAAAGTAAGTCCCGACTAAAAGACAGGAATGAAACATTGGTGATGTGTATTTATCTGTAACTTGCTCATCTGAAATATTCTTCACACTGATCTAAAATGTTGCTGTTTGTGCAGAAATTGTTCCTGTTCTTTTGAGTCATGTAAATACCCTGGATTTGGCCTCTACATCAAAAGGTTTTTGCTTAGACACAGCACTGGTTTATCCCTTAGCTGTCTTTTTTTATACTGGAGTGATTTGCAGCTCAGTGTTCAGTGAGTGTTACGTTAAAAAAACAAGAAAGTAATCCCTCTGAAAATGGATTGGACTGAAAATGGTTGACAGAAAACCTGGAGAACTACCGCTCAAGACCATTTTAGAAGACTTCCATGAAAGTTTGGCTCTTTGGAAGCAAAATATAAAGACATGATGAGTGGCTCAAGACATTACTGTATAAACACGATCCTCGGCTGAAATCAATTACATCAGTGCTTTTGCTGACGTTATTGTTGTTTTAAGAGTTTACTCTATAGCTAACACATCCCAGTTATAATCTTTAGGGTGTTTGGAGTCTAATGAAATGTAGCTCAGCCCCCAAAGTGGGCTATGGGATAGGTTAAAGCAGCGGTCCCCAACCTTTTTTGCACCATGGACCAGTTTATGTCTGACCAGTTTACGGCCTTTAAGGTGTAGTGGATAAATACAACAAAATAAAACCAATACCGGTACCAAAAAAAGAAGATTTATTCATAGCACAAGGGAGAAGACCAAGGGAAACAGAGTTAACGATAAAAACGATTAAAAAATAACTCTAAAAACCAATAAAAAACTCTGAAACAATCAATTTCACATCCGAGCCTCAACTCTCGTGGCCCGGTACAAAACGACTCACGGTCCGTGGCCCGAGGGTTGGGCACTGCTGGGTTAGAGAAAAGTTTTGTCTTGTCAGTGATGTCGGTACGGTTGGTAATTCAGATAGGAGTAAAAGAACCTCACAAGACCTATTTAAGTCTATATTACTCAAGTCAGAGTGACATCAACATAAGGTTAGAAGATTATTTTTATTGTCTAGGTTCATGCCACCATCACAAAAACCCAAAAACCAAATAATTTCATAGGAAGTCTTCCTTGTGGCAGGGTGAATAAGACTGAGAAGATGCAGAGAAACCAAAAATGGATATGGTGACATTTTTAGGTAGAATCTGGCTTTACAAATAGCAGACTCACTGAGCTCCACCATTTCAGGGATTATATTGGGGGAAAAAAGACAGCCAGTGTGACTGTACAGATCTGCAGCGAGTCCGGTTATTACTGAGTATTTGAATGTGTTTACCTGGAGAGGAGCCCGTCGCCTGAAGCACCGGGGATCTGGGGCTTTTGATGCCTTGACAGCACACTGTGGCCACACAGTTTAAAGGACAGCTCCACCGCGGGTTGAGTTTTGAACATTTTCCATCATTCTGACATTAATTCAGCCGCTTTTACCTGCCTGCTGAACAATTACACACATTTTCAAATCCTTGTAGTGGAGCCACTCATGCTATTTAGAATTCAAACAGCAGAGAAAGTGGCTGGTGAGCTAAAGTCTCTCAACTAAGACAGAAATTAAAAGTGCAATTGGCAGGATTAAGATGCAGTCTGATCGCCGCTTGGTTACTGGTTTGAAACTGGAAGGGAGGACAGTTTGTCAGTCTAAAGTAAGGCAGTGAACCTGTCAGCATCTGCAAGGGGGAAAAAGCTGCTTAAAAAAGTAGAGATAAAGGTTTTAAAAAAAACTGTTTCTGCGTGATGAGCACGGATCTGCTGGTTTTACTGGTTCAGGGTCCTGATAGGGGCCAGTTGCCATGGTGACAGAGTATGTGCCAAGCCAGGGATGTTGCTTTTTATCAGCCTGGCTAGTCAGATGCGTGTGATTGAAATGTTTGACCGTGCATTGTGTGCCTTTTTGAATTAGGACAGTTTGTTTGGCAGCACTCGGTGTATTTGCACAATGTGTGTTTGTGTGTGAGCGGTGGCAAGCGTCCCCACAGCGCTATAGGGAGGCTAATTGTATTTTAATTACAAAACCATCAAACGCACAAGTCAGACAGTTACCTTCCACCCCCAGAAAACACACAGTAAATGGAGCAGTTAAGTGTGTGTTCAGCCCGCTGCTTTTATTAATACTGATGTCTCATTACAGACGCCAGTCAGTGGAAGGAAACTTGAGGACGCGCGAGTAGAAAATGCATAACAAAGCAAACGAAACCATTTATTTTATTTAGGTTTAATAATGTGCGGAATGAAACGTAACCCACATATTTTAAATAATCAGTCTTGTATACTTGCAGCCTATATTTTAATAAGCTCTTTGTAGCATCCTGATTCTTTCAGTATTTTATATTTCTTCAGAGGTTGACTCGGGTTTGTGCCCTACTCCTGTACATCTCTCTATTCCATCTGCTTTTTCTGTAGATGACTCCAGGAGCTGGTTTATTTGTTGCATTCACTGCACTGCCACCTTAACTGCAATGGCCAAAAAAGAACTGGACACATTTTCACCGAGCGTGAAAGCAGAGATGTTTGGGTTAATGGCAGTCGGTCTGTGAGAATCTCAAAGTTATTCACTGGAAAAGCACTTGTCTGAAATTGCTTCTGACTTTGGCTTTTGTGGAGAAATGATGTGAACGTAGCCTTTTAGCAACATCCACAGTCTAGGCCGAGTGTTGTGTGGTGGAAATACATTTGGTGATTTTATTGCACATTCTAGAAATTACTTGCTAGTTTGTTATTTCAATAATCAAAGCAAATTACTTTCTTTTGAATTGTTGTCAGAAAAAATAAACTGAGAACTTTGCCGCGGTGCAGACCAGCACATTTTTTCTTCTGGAGCAGCCGACAGCAGCACAGAACAGACAAGACAGATATGAAAAAGTTCATATCTGTTAAAACCTTTATTGGCTACGGCTGCTGAATTTATGTGACGTTACTGAGTGCAATAAACTGGAAACACTTTAATCTCATCAATTGTTCTTTGTTAAAAGTCCGGTTTAGCTTAACGCTAAAGCATTTGCAGATAACATCGCTGAGAAGAGATGATTCAAAGATTTTAAATGTGATGAGATGAAAGTTGACAAGTGTGAGGTGCAGAATCAAAGTAGAACCTGAAGTGAGAATAGAGCAAATGACTGTTTTAAGGTTATTTTTACAGTCCAGCTTCTATTTGATGTCTCTAATCATTTAAGCTGCATCAGATCAAACGGATAAACAACACTAACTTGAAGTGATTCACCTTAAATGTTTCAGAAGCGAAACTAACCCTGTCGCTTTCCCTATGTCATCCAATCACAGCTGCCCCACCGTCGAGTGACCTTCTCTACGGCCAATCAGGCGCAGGATCTGCAGGATGCATCCCAGCACAGCTATTACGACAGCGGCTTGGAGGAGTCGGAGACCCCCAGCTCCAAGTCATCATCGGGGCCGCGGATCGGGCCTCTGGCTCTGCCGGAGGACCACTACGAGCGGACCACACCTGACGGCAGCATTGGCGAGATGGAGCACCCGGAGAACGGTAAGACCAGGTGGAGTTTCCCCTCCCTCTACTCCTCTTTTCACCTCCTCCATCCATCCATCAATCCAGAGGGAAGCAGAGGCACATTTGCACACATATATACACACACAGGCGCATGACTAAAAGCATATCAGCACCGCTGGGTTTCACACACATTATAACTGTTTTCATTACACACACCTCGCTTGCCCTGTATGTCAAAACGCGGCATGTCAGCAGGAATGTTAACGGCGAATATATTTAATCAAATTCCCACAATTCCCTGCGCTGCGCATACCTTCGTTAAAGAGGTGTGTGACCTCACAGCAGCACAACACAATCAATATGCAACATAATCAAGTCCCACGGCTTAACGAATTAACATCCCAATTATGTAAATCATACCGAGTCCAACCCTCTATCAGCTGCATTTATAGATCCGCAGAGGGAGGCTAACAGGGAATAGCTAACACAATATTCTGCGCTCTGACTTCACTAGTTAGCATTTTGTCAACCTGTCATCATGTTAACATGTTGATTTTTCTTTCTATATACATATATGTCGTCCCTTGTTTATCTTTTACAGAAAACCAGCTCTGAATATCTTCATAGTCCTCACAGGTTGTGAGTGTATCAGTCTGAGCCTGTTAGCTGTAGACTGTTTACTGAAGCTAACGATGTTAGCGTTCCTCCAGCTGAACACGATGTGCTGTAGTGTTTTTATCGTAACTTGTAAAGCACGATGAAATATTTAAAGTGATAAATAAGGGGATCATACTATTCTACATAATGGTAAGCATATTACATCATCACAAAATCAAATAACATCAGGTATGAAAAGTAACGGTGGATGGATTATGTTAACTTGTAATATGCTAACAGCTAAACGTAAACTTGGCACATTGTGACCCACATTATTACCACAGCATCACTGTGTTGACTGTAAGATTTGTACCTTTGACATAGAAACTCTAAACAGAGCTATAAAAATAACTTGATAATACTGACAGGTAGAAACAAACGAAGCAGCATTTATATGTTGTCTCAACTGATCTACTTCCACACTTACACTCGTTATTTTTAGTGCACGAGTATGTTCCCATAACCGAGTGCAACTACACGGAGTGCTTTTTGTGACGAGAACTCTGAACCATCAAAGCGCCAGCAGAGTGTGAAGCACTTACCTAGCATGGTCACATCTTAGTTGTGTGGGAGACAGGGAGGGAGGATGTATCATCAACACCTGCTGTTATTCTACTGTTAGCTAGCTAAAAATTGCAGATTTAGCACCGTGCATGTGTTAAACTGTTGCTAAATTCAGTATTACAACTTCCAAGCGTTATAGAAATAGCAGCAGCTTGCACGTCAGTCACAGTCCTCCACAGCAAATTCAGGTAAGTGCATGACTTGACAGTAGTTGGTGTAAAGTGTTGTAACTTTCAGGTCTGAAAAATGAAGGCAATTTCTGTGCCGTGGCCATCAGGGGATGGTATCTGTGTTTGCAAAAAGACTTCCAGTCCATAGACCAGTTTGAGGGGTGTATGAGTCCTCGGCCCTGACCTTATTAGATACTTTCTTGTCTTTACTTTTCCTTATTTCGGATCATATTTAATAAAACAATTAGTCCATTTAAAAATTTTGATAATTCCATGTCCCAGAATTGAGGATTACCCAAGCTATGCATGTTCAATATGGAACTCATGCTCATTGGCTTTATGCATAATCCAATGGGTGGGATCACAGTGGTCCATCCAAACATCAACTCTTGAAGCAGTTAGTTAAGGCACTACCTTGATACTGATGACTGTAAACAGACTTGATGTGCCCTGTTAGCACTAAATGCTAAATAGTTCACAATATTAGCCTCTTTTAGCTTGTATTACCATGATGTTAGCACATTGACTCATCTCAGATTTATATATAAATCAAGTTTGTATGTGGGTACTAATATTTATGTTCAAGGAAACCTGAGAGTTTTTCTTTTTCAAAATGTTCTAATTTATTTAATTATTTGACTTGTAAACCATCATAAATTCAAGTGATGTATATTACGTGTACCAGTGATGTTAGCTTTAGCTGTAGCCGCTCATTATGGCAGTTGTGAAAAAAATCAGCACGACTTTCTGAACATACTGAATGAGTCTTTTATGCTTTAACTGTGTTATAATTCAGCAACAAGCAGTGGCATTGCTTATAACATGGCAGCTAGCCATAGTAGGCATTAAAAATCAACACAATTCTTAATCATTCCTCCTGCACCTATTAGAGCACCTCACTTCGCCGTGTTTGATACATGCCGAAGGACAAATTACCGGTCAGATGCAGGCCAAAGCGATAAATGGTGAGCAGAAAAGTAAAGGAGGATGGAAAAAGTGACTTCATGTTTGGATGGGCTGATTCTGACTTCACCTGCAGGCTGGGGGTGATCATTCTCATTAGCTCTGTACAATACTGTATTTTGGGTGCAGCTACTTTAGTATGGCCATAAAACAAGTCAATTACATAAAATTATGCACATTTACTATCCACAGCCCTGTGTTTCTACTGTATATTGGAAAAATCTCATTTAGGTTCAATAACATAAACCAATCCATGCATTAAAAAATAGAAAGATTCAAGGAAAAAAACTTGTTTATTCATATGAAGTAAAAAAAAATGCCAAAAGATTAAATAGAATAAAAGCATTCTCAGGCTTTCCTGAGAAATAATTACACATCTTTGCTGCTGAGAATCTAATTCCCATCTGATTTTTGCTCCGTGCTTCAGTCCTATATTTCACTGAGATCATGATACACAGTAACTGTTGGTTTTAGTGTTTAAAGCCCAGTTTCCCTCAGGTATAAATAAAGTGCTTCATTTTATAGACCCAAATTATTCATTAGTCACACATTTAAACACACCACCATCTTTTTTTTAAACTTATGTCATCGTTCATTGTTCTGCTCAGGCTCTCAATGCCTCGTTAACACTTGTGCCAATTAAGCTAACTCAGGTGAAATGTTTGAAACTGGCAAGGAATAAAAAGCGGGGGGAGAGAGAGAGGAGGGGGGCGGGAAGAGTGAGGTTCAGTTTAAATGCCATCCCCGTCTGCTTTTGTGAGGGCGAGAAGACCAACTCTGGCTCTTTCTCTCTCTCAACCCACAGGTCGTACATATACCATCTGTAAACACAATTATTCACAGCTGCTTGCACGCCCACAGGCTACTGCCACCCAGTGTGTGTGTATGTGTGTGTGTGTGTGAGAGAGAGAGAGAGAGAGATAGCGATAGAGAGCAGGAGAGTGTGTAAGTGGCTCTGTATCTGCTCGTACACAGAGGAATGAGGTCAGGGCGATGTTGTGTGTGAGTTGCAGTGTGCGAGGGGATGATGGTGTTGTACAATCTTCCACTTTGATGGTCAAACATGTTTTAGCTGCAGGTATTTTCCTGAGGAAGTGTGTCTGAGTGTGTGCGCTGCTCTAGCAGAGAGGCCAACAGATTACAGAGGATTAACACACCACTACAGATACACTTTACTCTCGCTCTGTTTCTCTCAGCCCGATTCTAAAACTTCAGCCTCTGTTGCTACGATAAGCCGAGCTCCATACTGATCATTTATTTGAACAAAATCCTTCTTTTTTTCTTATCTTTCCATCTGTGAGTAGATCATCCCCTCGCTCGGCTTTGTCCAGCAAATCTCCATGCAAAATTCCAGCGATTTTTGTCTGCGGGAATTAGCGCACCACAGATTCAAAACGCAGACTCTGTATATCATATGCAGCTGGACGTAATTAAGGTTCAACATTAAATAGATAATCAAGCAATAATTAGACCAACTGGCAGCACGTAGCACGTGTTTTCCAGAATATGTTTTTTAGGAAGTGACTGAGCATTGGTGCCGGGCCGTACACTTTGTTCTGTGTCCTTAGCAGGCTGTTTTGATGTGTCCTGCTGTTTTCCTGCAGACTCTATCGATCAGTCAGCTGTGTGGCTGATTGCTGATCTCAAGTGCTTCAGACAGATTGATGGAAAGCTGGAGGAAACGACTGTCTGCTCTCAAACATGTTTTCTTTTCAGCGTTTTGTATCATTTGATTACAGTTCTTTTATCCTTGTTAGTTAACTGTCTCTTGTGCTTATACAAATACATTGCTCTTATAGCAGATTACAGAAACATCAAACATATCCTCTGTCTATATGGAACTAGTTGAATTCAAACATGGATTCTGCATAGAAGCATCGCTCCACAGCACATAGTAAAGAGTGGCTCTTACATCACGCATGGCCACGATGGCTCTGAGGGATTGCAGCCTGTCCTTAATGCATCTTGGTTCCTTTTCCTCTTGTCTTTGTAGATGGATTATCCACATATAGTAATATAATCTGGACTTAATCCGCATATAAACTGGATACTCATGACATATGACACTGTTCATCCAGGACTGGGCTCACAGTAGACCATCTGTTCCCTGTGAGCTCTGGTCATTCTGCACCAGAATGTTAACCTCTAACATCCCAGAAGTCACCGGTGACACATCATGTTCAAGTATGTCTTTGATAAAGCACAGTAAACATGGGTCAGTAACAGTTCACTGAACTTGGGAGGCAGAGCCTTCAGCCTTCAGCCTCTTCTGTGGAACCAGCTCCCAGTTTGGATTTGGGAAACAGACACAATCTCTGCTTTTAAGATTAGGCTTTAAACTTTCCTTTTTGATAAAGCATATAGTTAGGGCTGGACCAGGTGACCCTGAATCTGTAGTAGCTTTACTCTGATTACCATGATGTACCTTCACTCACCTTTTTAACTGTATTTGTTTATTCACATTTAATTATTAGTTATTATTAATCTCTGGCTGTATTTGACATAAACGTCTTCCTTCTCTCTCCCCAACCGGTTACGGCAGATGGCCGCTCCTCCCTGAGCCTGGTTCTGCTGGAGGTTTCTTCCTGTTAAAAGGGGGGTTTTCCTCCCCACTGTTGCCAAATGCTTGCTCATAGGGTGTTGTTTGGGTTTCCTCTGTATTATTTTAGGGTCTTTACCTTG